TGCAATTGGACGAGGTCCTCAAGGCAATTTGGCATTTATTATGGGGGATTATGTACTAATTAGAGCCAATTAGTACTAGACAATGCGGTATCAAGCTTGGAATTCTCGAAGCTTTTACCTCTCTACATCAGTTGGTATCATACAATGGGAATGTTTACATTATCAACCTGTCAAGTTGGCTATGGACACATCCAATGTTCTACGTAGGCTTCTCAAAATCTATCATCGCCACGACGCAATTCCCAACATGGATGTAACACCGGGTCATAGGAATATGGACAGCTTCGGCACGATTATCAATATCTAAACCATTTGGCGTCCTCGCCCCAGCATCATCGAGGATAATCTTGGACTTCAGAACCAAACAAACGGTCGCAAAAGTCGGAACGTCAACGACAGCTGGTCTGGATAGCGACGGTAACCAGATGGGAGGTCATACGAATGATATGGACGCATACCCGATCAGAGCGAGTCGATTGGAATGAGGCTCAACATCCATAGCGGCAGCAGCCTTAACAGGGAAAAGAACTTGTTGAGCCTTCTCCGATCGCCGAATATGACTTTTGATTTCATTTCCAGGCGATTTTCCATGACGCCATGTGAGATCGCGAACATCACAGACGACCCGTCGAGTATTCTTTACGCGTTGTTGCATCCTCAACACGCTAACTAGCACATTGATCATCTGCCGTTCCACCACGCATAAAATTTTTCGGCTTCGTCAACCGCAACTTCAGATTAGACGAAGATTGCAGAGCAGCCAAGGAAGAAGCAGAGGGGGTGCCCTCTTTGGGCACCTCCTCTCTTCTTGACCGACAGAAAAATTGATACTACGATGTTGGGAACGTGGCGGCGGAGAGGAATGTCCGTGGTTCAAAAGCGCTCTTGGTGAAACGGGTGGGCTATCCAGTAAACGAGAATACGTGGAAGTCTTTTAGTCGTATACTTCGCGACTGTCGCGATATCTTTCTCCCGTTAGACGCGGGCCCAAAATCGGAACCCGCTAAGAGGCTCCGTCCTCTTCACCCCTATTGTCGTGGAACCGACTAATGCCCGCACGTACTTTGCCAGTCGATTCAATTATGGAATGTAAGGTCGGTGACCTTTGTTCTGCATAAAAGAGCTACGGCAGCCCCAATGCACTTGGTAGCACTTGTAGTCAGTCTATGACTAATTCGTTACGACTCATCATTTGTAAGGATTGAGCAATTCTCTTATCGTCGTGGAGTTGAAGGAACTCGACTACGAGTGAACACTCCTTTCCCAGCGTGGGAAGACGAGAGAGGTCAGGCTTATCTTCGGCGTATGCAACACTCGAATGTGCTTATCCACAAGATGGATCTTGTGCCGGATAACCAGAGTGAGCAAATCAGCAGCTGATATGTCAAGTCAAACGCATTTTAGCACTTCCAGACGTGCTCCAGCAAATCTGAGGGCTTGGGATGTGCTTCCCGTGCAGCCGCGGACGAACAGAGACCATCTTCATTAGCTAGTCTCCTAGCCTCCTTTCTTATTCTTAACTTTACCAATAATGTTGTGAATGTGCGCTGGTCGAATCAAGTTTCATTAATTTTGGAAGTGTGTCGCGACTGTGGTCACTGCGATCTGTCCGGCCGTATGCGATATCATACCTCATCGTTTTCTTGATGTCACAAGCAAACCGTCGGAGTGCAATTGATCCTGCGCTCTAAAATGTGCAAATCAAAAGTGTATATCACGTATCTCAGCAGTTCTGCAGCAGTATTCGCATTTTGCAAATGGCTGACATCCACGAATTTGGTTGGGCTAACTTATGCCCAGAATCTAGTGTCGATTGTCTGGACGGAATCCAGATAGGTTTGCTGCATGTACAGTAAGTACATAAGACTCTGTGGTTACGTGTGATCGGTCCAATGGCGCTGATCACTCAGTCCGAATCATCACTCGAGCTTCCATTTGAATGGAGAGGTTATCAAACTCTAAAGTGGCACTACCAATGTCGGTTGAAAACGAGCGTGACGACACTCGTTTCCACATTAGCGCAAATACACTGGATGACTGAACACATCGATGGACTCTTCGTAACAGTTGTCATCCGCCCACGCTGGTAGTTTGATGCCAGGTTTTGGCTCAACATGCGAAAGGAGTATTCGACGTGAAGTTGGGAAAACCTGAATTTATTAACTTTCCGTTTAAGCCTAGGCTGATGATGGCGAGGGTGCCACGCATGTAGGATTGTGGTGTGGTTTTGCTCTGCGCTCGTTGTAAGCGAAAGTCGTCCTTGATGCGTTTCATGTCGTGTGAGATCGCGAATATCCGAGTCTCAGAGTCGGAGAAAGTTTGAATTAAATATGGGTGAATCCGCTTTTAAGTGGGCGGTGATGTTAAAGAATATACTTCTGTGTATGTTCATCACTAACTATATCCTTCATAGTTGTATATTTTCCAATTCTGTTCCATCTAAGGACACTTATCAGTTTATGCATGGTTAGAAACAATAAATGCCAATATCCGTGTCTTGTGACGGGGACAGGAATCTGCCCTTCATAGCACTGATATTTTGTGACCTTCTTCAAAAATCGGAAGGTTTTGAGAGCGTGGCGATATGTCTACTCCTGGACCTGGGTTCAGATTATGATCCCATCTGGGTAGGGCGTGATTGGAACGTCACGAGTCATGTATTGGCGGATTAAAAAATTTAGGTCTCGTGCAATTTTTATCTGATAGAGCTTTGCTAGGCGCTCACTTCTTTCCACTGGAAAGCAAAATCCTTCTGGCGCTTGAACTAGGTTACGATTGTTTGGTGCCGAAAATTGTCTTTATTGATATTGCTGAGTGCCTTGAGCAAAGACCGGTAGGCATTAGTGGCAGTGATTCACGATCTTAGAAAGAGACCAGAAAATGGCGATCGTATATCGGAGAAAATTACTTGTGGATGATCTGTTGTAACTGTATGCCCGTGTTGAGTCGGTGAAGATGGGCGATTGTATGTTGCAAGCAGAAAAGTCACGACCTAAAATTATTTTAAAATAGTTGATCCTTGGCATGAGGTAATTACTGCTACGTCAGCCCTACCATGTAGCGCGCCTATCGTTTGGAGCACTGAATGGGCACAGTTATGTGGTGCTTAGATTTATTTGCTATTGAATGGGTTCGTAGGGTCATTCTAGGAGAGGTAGCGTTATCTCAGGTCCAAGCTCTTATTATGCTTGAAGAGCTATCGATACAAGATTTTGGCAAAGCATTTAAGGACGGTAATATCACCTAAAAAGCGCTGAGCTATTCATCCATTATAGATGAGAGTCATCGAGGGCACAAAATTTTGTATCGATAGTGAGGGGTCAGACATTTTTTTTGATTCTACGAACCCTTTTTGCTGATGAAACAATTACACGATGTGGTAACAAGCGACTCGCCGCCTGTGTTGCCTTTGAATTAATAAGGGTGTCAAAAAAAGATTGTTCTGTTCATGATCCTAACCACTGCGTCACAAGTCACAGCTCCTTTTGAAGGAAACACGGTACCCAAATCCCATAACTAAGTATGATAAGTGGTACTGAGGCGCGGCAGAAGATGCAGTTACCAAGATTGCGATGGGAAGTCTCATCTGTGACCGAGATTCTGTCCCTTCCTAATGCGATTTGGCTATTCTATGCAGCCGAATGACGCTTCTACCATTGTTATTGGCCGTGCTCTACACCAAGCAAATGTTGATAGGCATGAATGTGTAGATATTTCCGAGTATCGCCAGCTAGAATCGGAAGTGTAAACAACTCAGTTCATGGCAAAGGGCTACTGCAATAAAGAGCACCCTCGACAAGCTTAAGGCACCTGCTTGTCTCTAAGCTGTTTTAAACTATACCTTTACTGCGTCATTGCGTACAGAACGTCGTAATTCAAAGGAAATAACCGGGTCGGCTTACTTTGGTGATGGATGACTTTTCGCGTCATCCCAAGAAAAAAATGATTCATATCACAAAATTGAAATTGTACAGTGATGTGAAAATTTATATCGCGTTTAGATCTTATGCGGAATATGTTGCGCTGCTGAAAATATTGTGAAGCGAGAAGTTTGGTGAGACTAGATGCCGCTTCTTCAAGGCTTGCGCTAACTTTTCGTATTTCAAGGCTTGGTGTTTAGAGCACTGAACACTTAAAAGTCAACGTATGGTGGCACATATTGGTGAGGTCCGAAATAAAGAAACATGTATGAGAAATAGGATACCCCTTGGGGTGGCCATCTCGAACGAGAAAAGACATACTGCTCAATGATTGCTATGTATTGGTGGCCCAAATATATAAGTGAGTGAGAAATATTTGCGGACGTGTGGAACCTGTTAGTTTGTTTAATTCTCACCGCATGCGGCTGAGTACTAGCATTCCCGATATAAGTGCATAAGTTTTGGCCTTTTAAAAGACGGCGTCCGGTTATATCGGTATTTTAGTTTTTGTGGACCGTCTGAACAAGATGGCTTACTTCGTTCATGTCAGCAACATTGTTAAGAGGGGGACACAGCAACGCTGTTCCTAGACAACATGTTTTGCCAGCGTGGCTTGCCAGTTGTCAATCTATTTCTGTGTATTACAGTGAGATTATGTTTTTTTGTGCTTCATCTCAGCTTGGAAATGCTCACCACTCGCCATCCCCCGATATATGGTCAAATACACCCGGAGACAATGTAGTGCCGCAGCGAGTCTATCTTACTTCTTAAGTTTGCGCTCGATAATCTGTTCCCGCCTCCGGTCGCAACGACTGCGCCTTCTTAACACTTCATCGAGCCATATTTATGCGCTAGCGAGAGAATTTCGTATGCATATTAGACTCGCACAGCAGGCAGTGTATGATGCAATGATAGGATAATACGTCATCAATTTTCGATATGTCACTTTTGCGGAATGTTCAAAATTTGAGACAACCAAGTGTGGTCCACATCTGTGTTCTATGGTGTACGCATTCATATCGTTACCGATGTCTTAATATTTTCGAACGCACATTATTTTACCAGTCTTAAATTGATAGACTACTCCAAGTGACAACCCTGTTTAGCAGCTGCACTCGCGGCCAGCGTGCGCAGGAAGCTTTGTAAAGCCAAGCGTATAACGACCTTGGCGAACCCGCCACAACAAAGTAGATAGCCCACTATTGATGGCTCCATTTTGAGCGACCATATCACAAGTGTTGCTGGTGTGCTACTTAAAGACGCTGCAACGTCCACAAACTGAACAAAAGCGAGATAATTTCGGATTGGTAACAATCCGAACTTGCGGATCCTGTAGCATATTGAAGGGATCTTGGAGCAATCACGTCGAGCTGCATTGATAATCGTTCGTCCTCCATCAATGTCTACACGGTCGTCTGACGGTAATCCCACCGATAATATTTCTTCTTCTATGCCCAGTGGAACACCCCGCACGTGACCAACATAGCCTCGCCCGACACCCGGATGCAGTTCTGCGTCATTAGTCAGCCAGACATACTCCAACCACGCATCGAAAACGTCAGATGGAGATCCTACGACGCATTCGGATACCACCAATTCCTGCCCCTTGTGACATTGGTAGTTCTCGAAGGCTTGCGTGTCCACATAATGCGTCGGATCCAAGAGACAACGATTCATATTAAATAATTGATTTTTTATGTAGATGACGTTAGTAGTATTAAAAATTTGAGCTTAAAGATAGATCATAAATATGTGCTCAATATCCAACCGACTCCGTATGGGGTACTGCTGGCCTTTGAGCGTCAGAATCGCAGGAAAAATTCAAGACCATATAGTATCGTCAGGTCTTTCGCAAGCTAAGAGAAAATTCCCATGACTTCTTACAAAATTCAGTATTTACTAGAAACAATGTATCGGTCGGCTGTTTCAGTAACAAAAATGCTACTTTACCATTGGTACACCGCGACTCTTTCGATGCAGTGGAGAAATGTTGTGAGATATTGCCTTCGCTGTAATTTGAGGCTGGATTGCTTCAAAAATCCTTGATTCCCCTTTGCGGGTGCCGCTTCATCACAGTGTTCATCTCCATTGCAAGGGCTATAGTCCCTGTCAGGTACCCGTTCAGTTGGTAGTCGTCAACTCACCTCCAGAACTGCGGAAGAAACATCGTTAGAGCACCACATTGAAAGCGACCAACCGCCACATTCGTATCACTCCTAACATGCAAATGGTCGAGCTAGAATGTCAAACATTACTATGTGCCTAGTCTTGCGACTTGCACACACTTGTCAAATCGGACAGCACCAGAAATTGCTATATATGAAATTCCTCAAGCGCCAATCGACCAACTTTAACAAAATAGAGCTGCTTTACAAAATGATGTGATCAGCTTTTTCTAGAATGCAGTTAGAATTGCCGTCTGTACAGGTGCAAAACCATCAGCAGTTTATGTGGCTGTGGTCAGCCTAGCGTATTTCTAGCTCTGTAGACAGGGCTAGGGACGTTTCGTTTAGCGCTTATTTCCATCAAAATTACATTCTGATGGCTCATGCAGCTGCAAAAAATGCACTCAGGTACTGCATTCCACAAAATGTCGTTTACAAGTAGTGGGCACATTCTTTGTGTTGATACGATTGTTAGCTGGTTTAAGCACATGCAATAAGACAGATATTACCTTTTTGTTTTCGACTAAAATTGTTACCCGACTATCTTTTTTTGACCCAGATTTCGATCCAGAAATTATGCATTGCCATGCAAAAGCTCATTTACCCGAGAATGCTTCCATCTTAACGCCCCGTGGGATTTGAAGCTGCATATATGGCCGAATTTTGCTTGCGAATCACTTTGAGCTTTCGCTGCGACACCAGAATTCCAATTGCAGTCGTGACCACCGTGAAAATGGTCGTAGCGGCAGCCACCGCAATCCAACTTGCAGGAGTGAGGCCCACAAAAATTTTGGCGCCACCACTATCAACAGAAGTGCTCGCTTGAGCACCGGCCTTCGCTCCGGTGGGAATCACAGGAAAGACGTTTAAGCCGCAATTGATCTTTGAATCCGCTATAAGCCTCATGAAGCCACTATCGCCCCATGAACTTCCATATGAATTCTTCAAAATCCAATAATCCCCCACTGTAGAGTCCGTGCCATATCCAACCAACAGTAGAGCATGGTTTAAGTCATTTTTCGAGGCCATGTCTCCGTTGTTGGGGCAATTATAAAATCCGCCCGCATACTCACCAAAGCCACCATTTGAGGTGATAGCAACGGCAATTGGCTGTCTTTCTAAAGCGGAGCGTAGTAATACGGCGCAGTCCTTCGAAACAGTACAATCAATCCCCACAACCTGTTCAAAGCCAGTGATACTCGCTGCTGCATCCGCTGCACTAACAGAGCATACTGCAGACGAATTAGTTGCCGACAAGTACTCAGTGCCCGAGTCATCATATGGCATCGTAAGCTCGGTTACCAATCCCCAACCATTCTGAGCTGCATCGATGAAAGCGCCATGAGTCATACCGCCATTACATCCGTCGTTTTGAGATTCCCAGATAATTTCATTCTGCATCCAGTTGACTCCATCCACCCCAACATCGGGTACCCAGCAGTACTCGAAAGTTTCAGTTGTTCGTAACGTGCTACATGTAAGAAATTGCTGAGGGGATAAGGACACAGCTGCCGATGCATTCTCCGCAATCACGACAGCAGTTTCGATCGCATCTGCGGCAACGAACGACCAGCAACTTCCGCAACTCTTTTGACTCTTCACAGGAGAACACACGCTGTGACCCATCGAGTTGTTCTTGTCACACCAATTCCAGTAAACGGAGCTTCCTGAGCTCAAGTTTGTAGTGTTATTCACGGTACGGTTTGTTTCCTGTAAATGGCGAGAATACGCGGAACCAATTTCTTGGTCTACAAACTGAACAGGTGTCAGCTTGCGAGCAGGAAACGAGCTCAAGTGGCGCTCATTCACACCCATGTGGTACGAAAATTTGTGGCCGACCTGTTTTGCATACATGTTGATATCTGTATTGAAAATTAATTCTGTCAACATTCCGAGCATTTTCAAACTTGTCAGCCATTTTACCTTCAATATACGTCATGTGCTCCTGCAGGTTACGCCTATATGATTCTTTGTCGCTCGGAGGCACGTAGTTTCGCTCGATTAAAAGCTCGCGCAGGGCTCGTGAGTCGATAATTCGGCCATTCTCTCCAGCCCACAAGCACGGTGAATTTGATGTGCGAGCAGTTGGGCATCCCACGAGTGTGCCTAGTGATCTTTCTGTGGTTTGATCCGTAGCAGCAGGAGGTAGCGTTGTTGAGAGCACGAAGATGATAGTTAGAAGTCGCATTGGAGTCCACGTGAAGCAAGTCAAGCTGTGGGAGGTGAAAATCCACCGCTTGTGAAGTAAATTTGTAAGAAAGTGGCCAGTTGAGAAACGTCAAGAGATGGTGCAGTCTGTTCTGCACACGAAACAGGCGTTAACCAATTGCTGAGCTGCTTTTCATACCCAAGAAATGAGTATGCGGCCGGATGGTTTTGAATATACAATTTTCATAATGGGCTGACAAAAGATTTCTAATCTCCCAAAAAGTAGACATGTTAAATATACTGTTTGATATTTTCATTGTTTGCATGCGAAGATAATAGCGATCAATATTTGTCTTGGATGCTCGTTGAGTTATTATGAGAGCCTTCGTGTAGTGAAGAGTTCATTTTCCGATCTTTTATAACAATACCAGTCATCACCCAAGAGCGCAAGAGCGCGCCGAGCAGACCGACTTTGTGTCTCCGTATGTGATGCCGAAAGGCGTCAGGACCAGCTGCACTGAACATACCGGGGACACAAGACGCTGAAGTTTCCCGTTTGAACCTAACAATGATCTAGGTAGCCGATATTCGTGGCGACGGGCGACTAGGGAGACAAAACTACGCGAACTGGCAGTGCTATTTTACTGAGTTATGGCACGTGAGGCTATTTCACTGATGCTTATAGCCAATATCGCTCTAAGGCGTAAATCATAAAGCCAACAATGTACACGACAATGTCAACGTTGAGAATCTCCTTGGTAGAGCAAAGACCCAACAGGTTGTCTGCTCTGACAAATTAAAGAGCCGATCCCTGGCTCAAGTGATTTGTGGTTTTGCCTGGAACCGGGAAGTACCTGGTTCGATACCCACAGGATCCGATTCAAGGAGGCCGGAGATAGGTCACTAAATTGAACGAGCAATCACACCCCTGTGGTGTGACCACCCAGACAATCCACACCCGAGTGGGGGTGTGATAGTTAGGTGGAAGGAGGCCAAACTGACCGAAAAAGCTCCATAGTGTAATGAAGGGTACGGAATTCGGTCCCAAATGGGTCAGATAGCTACCAGCATCCTCCGCTAAGGAAACCTATGCCCTAGCGTGTGAGTTTTGGTAGCAAACATCTCTCTGACAGATTAAAAGTCAACAAGACGAAGTTTTTGATGTTTCGGCGCTCATACTAATAATTTAGGATAAGTTCAGAATGAAACGGCGACGGGTACGCCATGAGTGATGCTTGCTTTTGCAAATTGGACCAAGTATCGTCAAACTGGAGACTCATTCAAGAAAATCAGTAAGTAATATATGTGCGTCATATGAGTATCTCAAACTTCATGTCTGTGGTGACCAATAAAACTCAAACGACAACGCAACCCCGTTTTGGTCAAAAACCTAGTAGTGAATCTGAAGAAACCAGATGGACCAGATGGCCTATTGTATACACTCCTATAAAGAAGGAGACTGTTTTCTCTTAACTTTCATTCAGATCTATACTGACAGCCCCTAGAAAGCCACCACCGGGTGTATATATCGTCAGAGGTCTTGTAACGTGGTTACACGGGCGAGTCCCACAAAATGGTTTGACCGTACATAGGTGTGGATTCAAAGGTTGGTGAAATCACACAGTGGTGTGGCTACACTGTAACAAGAAGCCACTACGAGGCAGGATTGTCAGTAGTAAAGCATATTAATCACGTTTTACTATATTAATTCGGTATTGCTCTATTAGTTAGGAAAACCTAAGGTTCGGCTCTAACGCCATTTAATAATTAAATACAATTTTGAATGGCAGAGTCTCTTTACCTTGGTTAGAGTCCTCAGTACTATTGGAGGTAGCGGATTGCGACCCGCTACACTCGTACTGTTTCTTGTATATAATGTAAGGTCGGTGACCTATCTTTTGCTTAGCTTCCTCTAAGGAAAGATCTACGGTAGCCCCGCTGCATTTTGTAACACTCTTAGTCAATCTACGCCTGAGTCATCACGACTGATCCTCAGTGAGAATGGATATTTGCCCCAGGTCATTCAGGACGGCTGATTTCCTTGCTGGGCCCTGATGCTTGGAGCACCTTGTTTCACAAGGACCCGAAGCGATAAACGCGCTTCTAGAGACGTTTCTAATATATGAAATGCTCTACTAGAGAGCTGTCTGCGTCGACTGCGTCCGTGACGCCAACGTCGATAATGGATGACTTCTCCCGACCTAGGCCGCTCATGGTGAGCGTTAAGACCTCCGAAGGTAAGGATGAAGAGAATCTCCTGCTCTGGATAAGAACGGTCGAGATAACTATGGCATCCTCCATGCTCCAGAACGAGCGATAGTTCGTGGCACTAGCTATCTCTAAGCTCGGTGGCCAAGCGCAAAAATGGACACTAACGTGCGGTGCTTCGGTCGAAGCAGCATTTCCTCCTGGAAATAGCTGAAGCGTCAGATTTTGCGGGTGTTCTCGCCGCCTAACCGGGCATATTACGTTCCTTGGCATAGCAGGAAGAAGTTGGTAGACTTTGTCCAAGAGAGTAGGCTCTTATTGCCGCGATGGCAGCCGAACCTCTCCCCGAGGCGGTCGCAGTGACCATCCTCATGGAGGGTCTCCGCACTGGTGTGGTTGGAATGAAAGTTCTCCGTGTGCACCCGTCTTGAAGAAGCGGTGACTGTGGCATTGAATGCCGAGTTCAAACTTTCAGTCGGGACGACTTGGATGGAAATCACACCCTCAGTGCTCGTCGAGCGGGCCTGGGCCAATGGATTTTAGCTATGCCGAGAGAAAAAAGGGAGAGCTCCGAGCTGCCGAGCAGTGTGTAAGCACCTGAGAATGTTTTGCCTGTGGGGACACCTGTCACCTCCGGACTGGTTGCCCCCTGCGCAAGGCGCGTAAAGGTTCGTCAGACCGTTGTCCCGCTTCTAACCAGTCTGGTTTGTCGCGAGGATGCGAGAAAGTTCAGCAGGCGCGGGGTGCCCTACTAGAGAAGAACGGAGTTGTGTTGAGCCTCAAGAGATAGTGGGCAGGGCTCAGCCCCAAAGAGCTCCGTGCTCTTGAACACAGAACGTGTATGCAAGCCGGGCTTGCTGGTCGTAAAAGCGACCGTGAAGGATTTTGAGATGCCATGAAAGAATCTTACCGATTCCGGTGCGTCGGGTTATAATGCTCGACGCATCACGATTGAAGGGAGTCAGCTATATGCTGAGCCGCTGGATGCGCGGTTGAGTGACGTCGTTGCTGTTCGCTTAGCGACGGGGACTTTTGTCTCCGTGTCGAGGGCCCCTGTGGACCTCGGTGTCAAGCTTCTTGACTTTGGTAGCGTGGAACGCTGCTTTGTCTTAGACTTGGAAGCAAGTTATGACCTTAACCTTTGCATAGCATTGCTGGCACACCATAAGTTATGGATTGATTGGAGGTCGAAGACCTGGGCGCTACGCTCACGTCTCTTATTGAAGTTTTGGGGAGTCATGAAACCACCTCTGCTTGGAAGCAGAAGCGCTATTGGCGTGGGCACTGGACCGGGGCGGTCAATGTGCTGTATATCGGAGTATCCGAGTTGTCGAATACCGAGGGTGTATTAGACAGGAGTCTCGAGTGTGGCTCGCGGGCTAAATTTGGAGTGGCACGTAACCCACTGAGCGCTGCTCAAGTATTGGAGTAGTCGCTGCATGCCAAGAGTGGCATTGTCGGACATGGTCCGAGGCATCTTGGGCAAGGCCCTTCTGATGCGTGTGGAGTGGCATGTTATCCACTGGACGAATACAGCGGACATAGCAGCTCTTCGTCGGATGTTGTTAACAACATCAAGACTCCGATGGAGCAGGGAGTGGGGACAGTGGATGACGGCGAGTGTGTGTTCCCACTGGTCTCGATGAGACATAAAACCTCTATAGAGAGGAGACGGCGAAGTGGTATGATATTTGCAATATGCAAGGCGTCGACCCTGACCCAGGGTGTCTAACGTAGACGATAGCGTAGCTATACACCCTTGTCAACGGTATGACAGAAGAGGAAGACGGCGACGTCACCCTCGAGACTATTCCGGCGGTTGAAGCTCTTTTTGAGCTGGATGACATGTCCTTCGAAGAGTTTGGTGGTGCCTTGAGGAAAGTCAATTTTGCCGAGGTAGTCATTATACGACCGAACGAGGAGATTAATTCGTCGTCGCATCTTGATGAATATGTCCTGGAGAACAATAAGAGAGTGATGAACGCATGAAGTGGATCGCCGATCCTAAAGTATCCCTCGGATTTGTACAACCGTTTGGTAAAAGAATTCCAGGACGTCGTCTCCAAAGATCCGCCGTCAATCCTACCTTCGGACCGAGGTGTGCGTCATGAGATTGACCTGTTTCTGGGAGCTAAATACTGCGTAACACGCTAATGGCCCCTGCCCAAGGAGCAGTGTGACGTCATTGGCGCCTTTTTTCGTGCGTAGCACGACGCAATGATGTTGCGTGAGAGCGAGTCTCCTCATTCAGCATCCACGCTTTGTGTCCGGAAGCCAAATGGCAAGTGGTGTATCGTTCACGCTTACAATAATCTAAACGCTGCCACCATTCCAACCCAGACGACGATTTCTAGGAAGGATGTTCTCCGGGACGATATGGCTGAGTACTCTAACACATTTGATACGTGGTTGTGAAAAATCAAAAATATCAGAATATTAATGATAAAACTCAAATAAAGAAGAATCCGTGGAAATGAAGAAAGTCTAATTATGAGAGATTGTAAATTTATTTTATTATAAATAGAACCAGTTCTTAATTTCCATACTCCTTGGAGTTCTCAGCTCTACACCTAATATGAGCACACGAATTCGACCTCCGCGCGATCCACCACACGCGAGCTCAGGATTTCTCTGTCAAAAATGTAAGGCAACCACGTGGACGTTCGCCACGTCGTCAACAGCTGCAATAACACGACACGTGCCTGGTTGCGTTAGCAGAGTGTCGCGGTACTTAATTTGGGACGGGTACACGATTTAGAACGGTCGTGTGGTGGTTCGCGTATTCTGAGTGACAATCCATCGGAATGGCGTGTGCAAGGGGTGTTGAAAAAGAACCGCGACGACCAGCGAAAGTATACCTATCAGATACCAGTAGGTCAACACACAAAATAATATCCAGTAAGAGCAGACGACAGAATAGTCAGTAAGGATAAACAGAGGATATTTAGTGATATGTCTGGCGGTAGGAACAAAATTTTGCAAACTAGGAACCGTTTTAATTATCTGCATTTTTATATCAAACACCCAATCAATCTATTCAGTAAGTAGTAACGCGTCAACGTGATGGTTTTCTTACGGTGTGGCGCGTCCTAGTTGATTGTCTTGAGGACAAATTGGACTTTATATACCATCTTTCCGCGAGTTGACAATTTTACATTACTGTGGACAACTTCGATAAGACGGTGGTTATGAAATTGAGATCGAAACATCTTTGCTAAAAATTGGTTTGAAGAATTTGGACGTGGGAAAGCAATTGAGTTCACAACCAAAAGATATCTGGAAACCAAAAGCAGGCCATCTCGTTACTCGAGTACTTTACTGTCGGAATTGATGTCATTCACCTTATTTCTTAACGCTCGGATAAAAGATCGCGCAATCTCGGTAAAAATAGGACTGAATATGGCTCACATATAGTAAAAACAAACAAACTGTGGAGATGGCGTTTGTGTCATTCATTACACATGAATTTCAAATCCTGTTTGACGAAGGCCATTACTCGGGTGTCTACCTGCTGGAGCGTTACATACGCCTTGATCGATAGTACTATAGGATGTTATGAGATTATCATGTTCAGCGAAATGCTCAATCTAGTATGTAGAAAAGGCATGCACAATAACAATTTTTGTGGGGAAACTTTGGTAACGGCAATCGTTTTGTCCCGATCGTTGATGCCGAGGACGGCATAAGGAGTGCATCGCATACTTCAAATGAGCGCAGAGCAAAGTCGGGGATTTTTGACTTTGCCGGCACAAGACTGGAAGACTCTCGCAATGTCGACACGTCCCCATCCATAATATACTCCAGCGGAAAGTAGACGACGATATATACTTAATATTATCCGATACAACGCGGTTTCTGTCGCATAGTGACTTAAATCAGACCAGACCTGCAGCGAAAAAGCTATCGTAGCTCTTTGCTTAGAGGAAGCTAAGCTAAGGTCCCCGACCGTATGTTCCTTACAAGTAACAGTACAAGTGCAGCGGATCGCAATCTGCTGCCTCTAAGAGGACTTAAACCCTAAGCCAAGCTGAATGAACTCTTCCATTCAGGATTGAATTGTTCTAGTTGCGGCACAGCCGCCAATATCTAAAACCTTGGGTTTTTCTAATTAATATAGTAATATCTGATTAATGTAGTAAATTTAACATTTATGCATTACTACTGGCAATCCTGCCACGTACTGGCTTCTTCTTACGGTGTTGCCTGGTTACAACAACTTCTGTAATCCACACCTATGTACGGTCACACCATCTTGTGCGACCCGCCCATTTATACAAGGGTACGTGTAACCCCGTTACACTCTCCCCCGGTATAATTGTAAATATCCGAAATTTACATTGAGCTGTCGCATCATATGAGACTCGCGTGTCTGAGAACCGTTACGCTCTTAAGAACAACTTAAAACATAATCCGCTCGATGAGTCATGTGTCTACGACACGCAAAACACCCAGCATAGCTGATAGCGAGAGCGTCCGCGGGCAAAACCTTTCTTCTTCTGCACAGGGTGCATCTCCGACCGTACGTCCGCGGCTTCACGGACGCGCATCTTAAGTTCTCGGCAATCGAGCGCCACATACCGCACCCGCCACGGGCGACGGATTTCTTTGTCAAGGAATTGGAGGAAGTTGACTACGAGTCGGATGCTTCTCTCCCAGCATGGGAAGACAAGAAGATGAGGTACTCCAACGGAGCGACGTGAGCCCAGCTCGAACCTTGCGGACACCGTGTCCGTTCCCCGACCTCTCACCTTCCGGAAGAAGTAGTATTATTACCAATCGCCCCGATGAGGCACAGGACAGCAGTTGGAAGCTGCCCACAGGGCGGCTCTCCAGCACTCGAGTCCACGTTCGGTCAGAGACCCTCGTGTAGAGTACGGTTTCCGCTCGGCGGGTCCCGCTACTGAAGCGAAAGACGCGATCACTCATCGTAAGGCGTCTACGTAGTCGTGCCTCCGGCCACTGCACAAGCTGAGCTTGAACAGCGGAGAGCTATCCGAGCTCGCTTTTAGGTACCGCTTGAAATCCCAATGGACTGTTAACGCGCTCGATCTCGAGCTCAAAAGAGAGGCGTTTATGTACCCGCAATGCGGACAGTTCCTGTGGTGCTCGCCCCTGGCGATACCGCTCCAGATGATGATGAGTATTTTAAGCGATGGGTGCAGCGAAACTTCCCTTGCTGTCTACCTTATAGCAAAGCCACACGGAAGTGGACGGGCGCGTTGAGCGCCGTCTTTTTGCGTATTGTCACCCTGTGAAACTTGAAATCATCCATCACGCTCCCGCGAGCTCTGTGGTTTCTCACACGGGTGAGTCTACGACCACAGCAGCGCAGGGCCATAGCTTAAGCTCCGCTCATGACCCTTCTACTTCCCGGGCTACTACCGAGAAGCGCGGAACGCATATTGACGCAGAGCGTCTTGATATTTCTAATCATACGCGTCTACGACGTCTGGGCAGTCCTGTCGAAAACAATCACCACCCGTTGCGGTTTCTTGCCGTCGGGTAGAAGAATACGTCGCTTCGTGCGACGGTGGATAGCCTAGCGCCCTTGGAAACGAAAATTGATTTCTCTGTGCTCAAAACCAGATGCTGACTCAGCTTCTGGGTGGACGAGCGCCTTAGGGCGCCGCCCCGGAGCCAGCGCTTCCGCGTTCGCTTGCACCAAATCCCGGTACGGCTTAAGCAAGCTCACATAGAACACCGGGCGGGTGCGCATCCTTCTCGGAAAGGTTCAGCGTATACGCAAGGTCACGATTGGCCACAACCTCAAAAGTTCCGTCGACGAAGTTTTGTCTTAAAGACAGCAGAGACCGCATGTGTAGAAAGTTTTTTAGCAATTAAACCGGGACCACGAACTCAATGTTCTCACCAGTTCTTCTGCTTCTTTCGTCTGCATATTCTTTCCGCATGTATTGGCTTCCATCCATCGCATCGCGAACGTGTCGTAAGACACTGAGTCTGCTAGACAGGAAGTCATCGACTTCCGTACGGACAGTGAGGGGGCTGACATCAACTAGCCATGTGATATCGGTGTCAGCGGGACGCGAGGATTAACAAGCTTGGTTACGTAGAACGGCATGTAGCCAGTAGATGAATGCATTGCACTGTTCAGAGCAAACTCTACGAGTGGCAATATGGCGCTACAGCGCTTTGGCGTCGCAGCGTCTACGCTGTGACGAACGTCTTCAACGACGCGATTCACGCGCTCAGTCTGACCATCGGTCCGCGGATGGTCCGCTGATGACATCGTCAACTTGGCGCCCAGCACCCTGAAGATTGTAGACCAAAACTTCCCCGTGAAGTGTGGGTCTCTATCAGATACAATTAACTCCGGGAGTGCTTGTTCTCGAAAGGCACGATCCAAAAACAGCGTCGCTGTGTCACACCGGCGATGGTGTCCGGCACTACTGCAAAATGAGCCATTGTGCTCAATCGGCCCCCAAAGACCACCACACCCGTGTTGCCCGTCAAGCCCTTCGACAGGCCAAGCACAAAGTCCATACTCATGGATTGCCAACACCCGACAGGACCGGTAAACTTGCCAGCGACGTTGCCGCATTCGTAGAAGGTTTCACCCTTTGACACGTCTCACACGTGCGCACATATGGGCTCGTCCATTTGTACAACTTGGACCATCAGTAGTGGCAACTCACAGAGCTGTACGTCTTCTCACGACCGAGATGACCACTGAGTGGGGTGTCGTGGGCCTCGTAGAGGATACGGTTTTTACATTCTCATAATGACAAACCACAATTTGTGACGTATCCGTCGAATCGGTGCTATAATACATCAACCCGTAATTCTTTGAATATCGGTGTAACCGTGCGCGCTAAACCTTTTCACAATTTATGCCCCCCCTCACTTATCGAAGTTATCAACATCTTTCTGGTATTCACTACATTGTACGCTCGATAAAGTGCCCTGAGAACTGCATCAGTTGATTTGTATGAGCAATTTTTATGTAAGGGCAATAGCACGAAACTGGGCATCGAGCTGCCCGTCCGTTTCTGCTCGCCTCACCCATAACACGCTGCTAGAAATCTAGGGTACATCTAGAAGGAAAGTGGGAGTGCCTTGCAAGGCGGAGATAAGAAAGAACAAAGCTTTACATACACAACTATGATTTTAAAATTAGTTGATTTACTGTGATTTATCAAGAAAAATGCCTTCGTATGGGAATTCCAATGACGAACAAGAATCATCAGGTCGGCTCACGCATGAAAGAACGGTATTTGAACAGACGAATACCGCATTTGAGTGTAGCGAACAATAATAATGCGACCAAGCATCTAGGCGTCTAAAATTTTGTAGATGTGTACCACCCACACTATCGAATCCTGGCAAATCAATAGTCATGAACGACCCAATGTACTTGAAGGACGTCGCGAACCAGTGTGTAAAGCCTAAGCAGTTGCTAAAGTTTAATCCGCAGTCTATTCATTTGCTGAATTCATTCGCGTCGCACCGCAATACGTGTACGATCGATACTATTATCCACACTAATCGTGTTAACGAATTTATGACAGTGGTGGATATTGCATGCAAGCAGCGGTCAAGCGACTGCTATCATGGCAGCGAGCATGCCAAACAAAGTGTAGAGCTCAAGTTTGGCGACTTTGTTGATTATTATCAAGCTTCATACAGGAACGAGTCGCATTGGCTGCAAACAGTAGATGACCTAGATTTTTATCTAGCGCAATGCACCATCGCAGTTTCAAAACCTGATGCAAAGGCGATTTTGCCAGATATAATGGAGGATATTAACTTGTATGCAAATGATTTTGCATTCTCAGCGAGGATTAAAACCTTGGGATAAGCTCACATATGTCGTTTACGTGTTAGACCTAAATATCTTAAAGACAAACACATCTCTCAAGTGAATCTATGGATGACTGTGCATGCGAGCCGAACAACGCTGCATTATGACGCGTACCATAACATCTTGGTGGTTTTGTACGGAAGGAAATTTGTAACGTTGTACCCTCCGTCAGACTCGCAGAAGTTGTATCCGTTCCCACTGCATTCCAAGTCTGTGAACCATAGCCAAGTCAACATTGTGCAGCCCGACATTAAGAAACATCCACAATTTCTAAAAGCATCGGCTAAACAATTCGAAATCAAAGCGGGGGGTGCGTTCTGCTATTCGCGTTTTGACTCTTCGCGTTGGTCCTGACTGCTAGATCTCTGTCATTGTTTTGATTCAGACGCACTCATGATCCCAGAGGGGTGGTGGCATCAGGTGGATTCAGACGAATTCACTATTGCTACTAACTATTGGTGGAATGGTATGCGTGAACAACTGGTAGCAGACAAACGTATGGTTCCATATTATGCTCGTGTTATGCTAGAGGAATTCCTCACGCAGCAATGCGAGTCGCGTTTGCACGAAATACACTTTTTGTCAGTATCTCAAAGTGGCTACAATTTCAATGATGAAAACAGTGCAACGGCAGCTTTTTGTGCTGCAAACGATCAAGCAACGCGTGAGCGAGTGTTGATGTCACTAGAAAGCAAAGTGTTGATCAAGACACAGCATCACTTAGCAACGAGATTTGCGGAAGAGTGGAGAAAATTGCTTGTGAATGCAAGTGTTGATTTAGTGGCTAGATTGGCAAAATGCTGGGAAAATGATAATGTGGCGCCTGAGTTTCTTAACGTGATATTTCGTGCTTTTGATAAGGACGAAGAAACAATCAAAGAGGAACTCGTGGCCAAGCACGCGCAATTTCGCCAGTTGTGTGCTACACAAATGTACCAGTCACTTTTTGGCTAATTGGTCAATGTAGCCATCGATAGCTCTATGCTACAATTGACTACTGAAATATACTGATGTGATTGCCTTATAATGACCGTAGCTAATGTATCATGCGGATAAGTAGGTTAGAGTTTTTGAAAAGCGTCTCAACACCAAGATTAGCAGCATCAGAATCATCCTACACGCCGCAGTGTTCTGAATATATAACTCTCTCACTGTTAAATTGGCTTCATCACTCATAAATCATCACATTCCAAGCATCTTCTATCGGTAATGACTAAGCGCGATACTCAAGACTATGACGTCCCTATGGTGGAAGTCAAGCGGCAAGCTAAGCTCAAGTGGAATGTACAGTCGTCAGACTTCGCAAGTCTCTGTTCGAATCCAATTAGGAAAATCGTGGATAATATCAAGAAACCCAAAACATCAATCAAGACTTTAATTCCATTATCTCTAGGTTTGTGAGTTGCTATTATATTCAGACTTTCGAAAAAAAATAATTTACGTGTTTGAAGGTGATCCGACGGTGTTTGGCAACTTGCATTGTCCAGATGTCTTGGTGCAAGCAATCATCCGTAACGCTCGGTGAGTTTATTGCATGACCATCGACTCATTTAATTTCAAAACTGGATTCGCTCTCGAACAGTTCAATGCGTCACAACGGCTATATCCACTCGGCTGGCTCTGAAGCAGCTCGAATATCTATTGCGCAACACTTTGGAAACATACGAGCACCCTTGACAATGGACGACATCATTATTACTAGCGGGTGCTCAGGAGCAATTGAGATAGCCCTACGTGGTCTGCTGAATCCAGGTGACAATATCCTTCTTCCTAAGCCGGGTTTTCCATTGTACCAAGCGCTTTGCGAAGCACACAAAATTGAATGCAGATTTTACAACCTTACGGTGATAATACTGCGGGTTTGATTTAAGTATTCAGATTCTTACGCACGCTTTGAATACTAGCCGGAATGCAGCTGGGAGGTTGACCTTGAGCACATGCAGTCATTGATCAATGATAGAACGAAAGCGATTTTGGTCAATAACCCCTCGAATCCGTGTGGCAGCGTTTACTCAAAGGTGAAAAAAGCAGAACGTTTACTGCAATCATATTTTGACGCTGCTAACGTTGAGTATTTGTCTAGCTTCATTTGAACGATATCCTTGATTTGGCGGAATTGAATAAGATCCCAATCATAGCGGTATATTCGTTCCTTAAAACTTATAAACGAAAAAAGTCATTGACATGCTTATCGAGTTCCAGGACGAGATCTATGGTGACATGGTGTTTGGAAGTGACGTATTTTACCCCATGGCTTCATTGACAAATACAGTTCCAGTAGTTGCCGTGGGCGGCTTGGCGAAGCAGTTTCTAGTTCCCGGATGGCGGGTTGGGTGGATCATGGTGCACGATCGTAACGAAATTCTGAAAGGTGTTCGCTCTGCTTACTTCAAACTATCACAAAACATTCTTGGCGCAAATTCTCTAGTCCAGGTATCGATTTTTGTAAACTTCGCTTGCAATTTCTTGCGTAACATCACTGATGACTGTCAATAGAGCACAATACCCGATTTGCTGACACCAGTTCCCGGAAGTGTCGAAGAAGAGTCTCTGACGGATTTTAGAAAGCGATATTTCACGACTTTGGAAGACAACGCTAGGTTTACCATCAATACTCTAGCCACGATCCTGGGGCTAGAAGTCGTGGTCCCACAGGGTGCAATGTATGCAATGGTGCGTGGTGATGGTATCAGACAGCGACTATCGCAGTATCTGACCGTTTCTTTTTCTATTGTTTCTATAGGTAAGGATACACATGAAAGTTCTCACAAAGATTCGAGATGATCTGGATTTCACCCAGAAGCTTTTGGATGAAGAGTCTGTATTCGTACTGCCCGGTCAGGTGTGTTGCAGCATAGTTGAGGTATAATTGAGGCAACATCGACTAAGTTGGAGTTGTTCTGGCAGTGCTTTGGACTAGCCGACTACTTTCGCATCGTATTTTCAGCGCCGCATAACGTGCTTGCGGAAGCTTACACGCGCTTGGCGGAGTTCTGCTACCGTCACCAGTAAGCTAGGATGGACGTACCTAATTGTTATATGTTCAAAGTCCGTTTTTTTAGGTTGTTCTGTTAATGCTTTTAAGATATGTTTTAATGTCCATTTCCTGTCGTTTTCACAGTAGATCTACACTTTTAGCCACATATTGTGAATCAGAGGTATGTATATATCTAGAACTGTTAATGAAAAGTCTTTAAAGCGAACAGAGCTGTTTATATTCCTAAGTTCAATTATTCTTTTCACTGCGCTTTGAAACAATTTTGTAATTTATTAGCGAAAAACTCAGTTTCTAGATTGACGGAGTTCAATATACAGGTTGAGCTTACACTTTGATAGCATGCTTCGTTGGGCTTCAGGAGCAGCCCGAAGCGAAGACAATAGTATTTGTTGAAGTTGAATTTGGTAATTTGACGCAAAAGTAATCAAATTGAGACGAGATAGTCGACTTGGTCGACCACCGAAAACTTCAGTCGCTCTTTCACTCTGAGGCGGGTCCTGATTCCATATATCCTTTTGCAGGATTTACTACTGGTACAATCGTCTAGATTGACGTGCACCAGTGGTGTTAACATGATTTCATTGGCCTTATTGAAGAAAAGCACCGTAATGCGGCAGCCGTGCACTTTACACAGAAAAGGAATGACCCAAAGAGTCCGCGTTAACAAGCGCAAAGAGTTTGGGCTTGAGCGCTGCTACTAGGAGTGAAATCAATACATTTTAAGGTACCTATCACTCTGCTTTTTCAATAACACATTTAGCTAGATTGATACCACTTAGATTAACACTGCAACGAAGGTGCCGTTCACTTTGCAGCGATTAAGTCTTGACCCTCTTAGTTCACGTTCAAAATGCGCATTAGTCGAGTTTGTGCGCTCCTTCCACAAAGCCGAACTAGTGGCTTTCAAAAAAAGCACTGGTATTTCGCTCCACTATTTCACGATTACATTGAATTCTGTCTAGATCAATACACAGTGTATACGCTTTACTATTTCTCGTAATGATACTGTCTTTCTTTTGTAACGTGCGGCCAGCAACCCACGTGCTCCTCGGGCCCTCCTTCAAGGAGTTCCGTAATGTTTTTAAGAAATCAATATTACGGTACATCGAAACAAATAAAATCACACTAAGTGTAATGTGAATCTCGTATGACTGTACAGAACTGTGTTTGATACAATCCCACCGAAGGTGTAAGGGTTAAGAGCACAGGATTACAGTACTTTCCTCTGTTTAACTCTACCCAAGACCGCACCAGAATGGATATTTATTCTCCCTTTTTAAAACGCAAAACAAAAGTGACCGCTCGCCAAAAAAATGCGCTGGCAGTCTAACTTCACTATCTACACCTTACTGTGTCTGCTAGGTTGGGCGTAGTTGCACCAGTAGTATTCTTCCGTACACCAAATAATTTGCTCAACGAGCTTCCACCGAGTACCCGGCCTTCGCAACCAACACGCCAAAAAAACTTTTAGAGAGGGTGCCGTGGTAATTTTACGAAAGAACGGTCCAAGCGACTCTCCAAATTCTGGCCTAACATTTTTGCCCTCACCCGGCAGTACTCGGTCCAGCCGTTCTTCAGGGAGGAGGCATTCACTGCGCTTAGCCTCCCAGCTGCATGACTCCAAAACTCCGTGCCATTTCTATCAGCAGAAATTGCTCAGACATTCCGCCATGGAAGCCACGGCGATGACCAGCTCGTCATCAACGTACTGAACCAAGCTAAAAACGACCAGCTTGCATAACAGCAAGCGCAAGCGTCACACTAACGCTTGTCTAAATACGTAATAATTATGTTTCCAAACCACCGGCACTCATTCAACGCACCGGTAAGGAGCTCCTAAACGTCAATGCATGTAAACCTTCCGATCACATCTACAGCGAAACGAGCGCGAGAAAGTTGCTTGGAGAGCGATTTCCCAACACACTGGAAATCACTCCCCAGGAATATCGTCTGCACAAACAGCAATTGTAAATACATGTTACCTCTATGGGAGATGTACCTTAAGGATTAGAAGCCGGTATTTGTGTCGTTGAAACCATTCTATTTGCGTACATAGTATGGAAAATGCGCCGCTTAACCTGGCTTTATGCTTTCCAAGCCAGCACGTCCGCCTAGATCGTCATTTTGTGCTTGACATTGCAAAATGCGGTACAATGCGCGGACAGCTTTCATTCCTGCTGTTTACATTTTCTTCTATCTCCATGAGACAGCTGAATCAGCTATCGACCAATGATCTAAAGAACCACAAGGTTAGCAGTCTATTGTTATCGATAACACGCTGCTACCGATGGCACTGCCTCTTTTCAAGAGATATAAAGCCTGTGTGATCCAGATTGTCAGCATCCACGTCATCAGGGCGAACTTGCCGCAGTGGAGCTCCCAAGAGTCTTGAGACTGAAGTGACCCTTCCACTTCACTCGGTTCAGTAAACACTGGTGTACATGCTGGCCCACCAAACATTCACGTCAAATCAATTTTCCGCTGCACGCACTCGTGAGCACTATTGATCGGGGTGGCGTGTAACCCTTCTCCGAAAGTCATGGAGTGCGTCCGGCTGAGATGAGCTAGAATTCAGGTTTTATCACTGATCTCTGTCATTGAGCTCTGTAACCTCGGGAGCCCCTAGCGATTAAAAACAGTGCTGCTACTCTGTAGCAATAGGTATCGCAGCTACATCAAACGGTACAGACACTGCTCTGTCTCTAATAGAGCGCTTTACGTCCGACTGGCTGGATCGGGGTATGACTTCAGTAAGCCCTCGTAAATTCGCGCGTATTCTCTGAAGGACTGCGACGTGTATCAATCAATATCTTATCCGCTACGGCTCGATGTAACAAAATTGTAACTAAGTGTGATTGTATATAGGCTAGTTGTACTATAGCAATTCGTTTCCATAATGCGTTAACATGTAAATTGTGTTTGCTTCTGGCATCAGCGTTGCCGCTTCTTTATATTGTAGCTCTCAGCGATGGCCCCGCGTGCACGGTGTATGACAATCAATCTCATCAATCAAATACTAACTTACGAAGCGCAGTTGGTCCATATAATAAAGTCGAGTATTTTTGGGAGCACTACCCTCACCTAGATTGGAGCCACCTTGTGGTGGTAGGGTTCACCCTACTATTATGTAAGAAGGGTTAACGTCTATTCTATCATTCAATGCTTTGTCGAGTACACACATAATGAGTCGGTGGAACTGTGGATTCTCTGCGTCAGTGCTCCAGATAATAATCTCCAGGTTGCGATAAACGAGTTACGACTGAACATTTCTTTGCGGATGGGTAACAGTTAAAAAATCCAACCTGATGCCGCGCACCGCAAATACCATATTACCAATATATCCGGATGCAATTTTTGAAAAACCAAGAATAAAGTCTATAATCATGAATCATCAACAATTTGCCAGAATTGGCAGACTGGTCAAAGGTGCCAGTGCCTGTGGCGAAGTCTAAATACGCATACATTTTTCATACCTGCGCACACTTGTGCTTACCCACTTATTCATGTTGACATTGAGCCAACAATCAACATCTTACAATCGTGTGAAAATGATGTGGTAACGACGTCACTATATGCAGCTTAACTTGGTCGATATGGCTTAGAGCAAAGCAGGGTGCACCCTCAGTCTGAGGGCATATTTCATTGCAAGTAGCGTTTTTTTCTTGAACTGTTATATGCAGCAGTGACGTTAAATTGTCTAGCAACACAACTGTACAAGCCATATTGTGGCATTGCACAGACCGTCTTAAACGATATATTTGCCCATAGCCGTTGAGAGCTTAGGAAATGGGATGTCGGCTATACGGAATAGTTAGGTCGTTGACTATCAACTCGCTGTCAACAACTGCGTCGGTGCCCGAAAGTATGCGCTGAAACAATCTATTCGCATATTTGGACAAGCGTGTTATTGGCACCGACAAAAAAACCTTTTGTGATGCTACTTTGTAAAGCAGACATGTAAGTGGATTTCGCAAAGATAAATGCCATCGTAGATTGGCCAGTGCTCCTATATCAAAAGTGTGTGGCTTGGCCTAGCCAACTTCTTGTACAACTATTAGTGGGCATAGAAGGACACCTCGATAACTTTCTTAAAAAAACTCGGATAGGAGCAAGGTATGTTGAGGATTACGATCGCTAAGACCGTGAAAAGCCTTTCATGAGCGCCTCGATTATGGCTCTTCCGGATTCAAATCGAGCATTCCACGTCGTTTGTCCTTTGTAACAGGTTAGATTTGCTCCAAGAAGGTGTATCTAGAATGAACACTTAATCGCGTTTGGATCTCGTCAGCTAAAAAGCCGCTAAAAGTACGATCAGCAATTCTCAAATCATCTTGCGCGTAGTATACACCGCAAAAGTAAAATGTATGCAGGTTTTCATCAGCAGTTGATAGTAAGCAACAACTACGTTGTGGGCGCTTAACATTTGACAGCACATCTCTTTCAGATCTCATGGTTGATCCAGAATCGTGCATGCCCTTAGCCTATATTAAGCATGCACAATTCGTCACTAATCTAGCCAATCTGACAGAGAGTTGGCGCCAAAAATTTGGATTTATTATCTCAGCGCACCATCTTTGTACTTTGTGCTTGCACGAAACAAGTGCACCGTGTGCAGCAATATTTGGTCTCGGGGGCCCATTCGATTTCATAACTTACCCCCTATCTGGAGGTAACGCCCGAAGTGGATCATTGGTCATTCATATTGATTCTTAGATTCTTGACGATAGACGTTCCGCTCCTCGCACTAAGTGCTGTGGA